GATGCCATGGGTTGGCCACAGGTGCACTATGTTTCCCAGATGTTGCAGTGTGATCACGCACCGAAAATCCGCCTGACATTCGTGTCTTTAGCGCGGCAACTTCTCCGTATGAACGGGGCCAGAGTTCATATTTTTTGGCATTCTTTGATGGTGTTTTTTCTAGCGGATTTTGCTTCTTCTTTTTTTGGAGCAACCAGACAGTGACTGGAGAACTCCCAGAATTACAACTGATCTCCAGATGACAGAGATCAGTTCCCCCTGGAGAAAATGGCTGCTCTGGAAGGTATGCTATATGGCATTATATCCCACTGAAGTCCATCACATTAGCCAGAAGGTATAGATGGAACACTCTGTCTGGGGCAGTGATGCTCTGTATACTTAGTGCTTGGGAGGCAACAGTGGGAGGGCTCCTGGAGTTCTGGCTTTGCTGGTGGACCTTCTGATGACACCTGGGTTTTGGCCACTGTGTGACACAGATGTTGGGCTGGATGGAACATTGGCCTGATCCAACATGGCTTCTCTTATGTTCTCATCCCCTCCCCCAAATCCAGGCTGTATCCCCAAATCTCCAGGAATTTTCCAACCTGATGCTGGCAGCCCTACCTTAAGCTATGGAAATGGTGGGGTATAAATATTTAAACAGGGGGTATGAATATTTAAATAAATAAATAAACATGTTTTCCATGAAACCACCGTCACAGAATAAAGCACTGAGGAAAAGCAATTCTGCTCTTTATTACTTCCAAATACTTTACTCCTGATCCAAATGATAGATGATTGAAAAATCTTAAATTTGCTCTTCTACCCCTTGTCACTAACAGTGAATGCCTCCATACTCCTTCATCTATCTTACTGAGAATCATTACGATTTATCTTTTCAGTTATGAATATGAGACATTATCCCGTTCATCAGACAACACAACACTGAATATCTCCCCCTGCTCAAGCAATCAAACTGTTACAGGATTAGAAGGGATTCCAGGTTCAGGTAAGGCTGTGATGTCTGCACAGAGAGTTATGGACATGTAAGTACAAAACTATGCATTCTATTCCACGTGGCATTTCCTTCTCCTCTGGAAGTGCACGTTCAGTTGTGATTGGAAGTAATTACCATTAAGAACATGAGAGATGCCAATGTTGGATCAGGCCAAAGGCCCATCCAGTCCAACACTCTGTGTCACACAGTGGCCAGAAATACCAGTGCCATCAGGAGGTCCACCAGTGGGGCCAGGACATTAGAAACCCTCCCACTGTTGACCCCCCCCCCCAAGCACCATTATGACTGAGCATCCCTTGCCCCAGAGCCCCTCTCTATACCTTGTGGCTAATAGCCACTGATGGACCTCTGCTCCATATGCTTATCTAATTCCCTTTTGAAGCCGTCCATGCTTGTAGCCGCCACCACTTTCTGTGGCAGTGAGTTCCAAGTGTTAATCACTCTTTGGGAGAAGAAGTACTTCCTTTTATCCATTCTAACCCGACCGCTCAGCAATTTCATGGAGTGCCCACGAGTTCTTGTCTTGTGAGAAAGGGAGAAAAGTACCTCTTTCTCTACCTGCTCTTTCCCATGCATAATCTTATAAACCTCAAATTATTAATGTAGAAGCAAAAAGTACTCGATGTATGTAATGTTATTAACAAAAACAATTGAAAAAACTTATCAAAAAAAGTTGTGATTGGAAGTGACGTCACAATGTTCTAGAAATTCCTCTTTCCTTAATAAAATTCCTTACTAAAAAGCATTAATAAAAACAATACAAACGGTCATGTGCCATATTGAGACCACTAAAAAGGATTTATATGTGCCATTATAATCCAATGTTCCGTCATTCTGGCATGCGTTTTCACAACAGAGGAAGTTAGTTATTTGAAGATGGCTGTCTTCCATAGAACAATATCTGGGAAACTTCACTATCACATGTTCTGTTTTCAGTACCCCCAATCTGGGGTATCCTACAAGTCCGTAGTGAGCCCCAGCAAACCGTGTTTTATTCGAGTGCCTTTGACTGCCATTTTATTTTCCTCCTATAATTGCTATGATTTGCAGATTGTGAAAAGGAAACCTCATCAAATGCGTGGATTTATGTCTTGCTGGGGAATGTACTACGTGGAATTGGTGAAACGCCAATAACCCCACTGGGTATTTCTTACCTTGATGATTTTTCTAAAGAAGAGGATTCGCCTTTTTATGTAGGTAATGTCTAAAGCAGATGTGTCAAACTCATTTGTTACGAGGGTAAGATCTGACATAAATGTTATTTTGTTGGGCCGGACCATGTCTGCCGCAAAATGTAATGCCAGGTACTGGAGAGATAAACTTTATAAATGACACAGGCAAACCAAATTGACAATATTTTTTACTCAAAATACAAACAAAAGCAATTTATTCCTAGGAGTGAAAGGAACTGATTTACTGGGGAATCCACAAAAATCCCAATAAATGTATTTAATCATATGCAAGTCGAGGTTTTCCCCAAGGGATATCATACCCGCCCCCTAGTCATTTCCACTCATTTCTTGACAGCTTCGACTGCACACACCTCAACATGTGTGCCCACGTGCCCACTCCCCCACCCCAAGCGGCCTCCTGCCTTCCATCTCTTGCACCAATTGCTTGTGGGCCAGATAAGAGCCCCGGATAAGCCAGTTCCAGCCCCTGGGTCGTATGTTTGACACCCCTTGGTCGAATCTGCATTTGTCTTTCCCACCGGTGTCCGAGCCTTCTGACACCGTCTTCAGAAAAGCTGTCTACATTTGGTTTCGGTTTCGCACCCCAACAAAGCTAGCATACTTTTGCATGTCCGCATATGTTTATCGCCCTCTCCTGGTGGCTCCATTTTCATTGCACCTCTGCACCATTTTAAATGAATCTTCGCCAAATGACTTTCAAGCAAACATAGAGAAAGACAGCGTCACAGCAGCACGAAACTGGTTTAAAAATGCAAATGCAGATTCGACCTTTGTCCAAAGGATGTCACTAGAGTATAAATTCAGGTGGGTAGCCATGTTGGTCTGAAGCAGTAGAACAAAGTTTTAGTCCGGAGGCACCTTTAAGACCAGAAAAGTTTTATTCTGGGTATAAGCTTCTTGATTTTGAGCAAAACAAAACCATTGGCTAGGAACGTCCAAGATGGATCTTCCATATCATCATTTCAAAACCCGTAAGATTGAATTCCATTTTGAAAAGCAACCGGGACAGAAATTCTGGCTTTTTCACTGAGACTCACGGTGAATTACAAAATTAGAAAAATCCGTGCAATAAGAGGAAACAGTTTAAGACACACCATAACACCTGGATTATGAAAAAAGAAAACAGAAAAGAAAACAGTGCAGTACAGAGAAGGAACTGCTCGCCAACAGCAGAGTTCGTAGCATTTGACTTTCACTGTGTCTAAATTTGGATTTTATGTACCCTTCTAAAGCTGAAATTAATTTTTTTTATGTGTATTGTTTCCAGGGATTATATCAAATCTTTAAAGTCAGCTTTGGAATTAACCAGTGCGAGAGTTGTAGGTGGAGACATGGAAGGGGCTGTGACGCCAGCTGCGGCGTTATGTCACTTCTGCTAAACGTCCATAAGGGGTATGGGGTAATTCTAGGAATCGACAGAAAATCTACTGTAAAACCATAGAGTTTCTGCCAGTTCCTAGAACTACCCTATGTCATTTCCAGGTTTTTATTGCAAGTGGTGTGGCTCCTCAAGGGATGCTGCTGTCCCCCCCTCCCACCACTCAGAGTGGCAGTGGGCAATGGGAGCTGGGCCTGGGAGCAGGGAACCCGCCCTCCCCCCGGGGGTGCCTTGCAGCACTATTTGGAATGGTATATGAAACAAACTTTGGCCACCCAATGAGAAGGGAGCACTCACTGGAGAAGACCCTGATGCTGGGAGAGATTAAAGGTCAAGGAAGAAGGGGATGGCAAAGGATGAGATGGTTGGACAGTGTTATCAATGCAACGAACATGTAATTAAGCAAACTCCGGAAGACAGGAGGACCTGGCGTGATGTGGTCCATGGGGTCGTGAAGAGTCGGACTCGACAGTGCGACTGACCAACAACAGTGAAACAAAAAAAATCTGATTGTTATTTTTGATTCTAATACATTTTTTAAAAACCCAGTGAAACAAAAAAAAAAAAGGACAACAGGGTCTCCAAGTCACCAAATGTCAAACAGTAAAACATTTCAACATTTCAACATTCAACATAAAGGGCATATTCAATATAGGCCTAAGTTTCATGTCGCACACATTTCATGCCTGCTCACAGCCCCAAGCGCACAGCTGCCTTGGTGCCATGTTCAGGGGCTTCTTCGTCCACTGTGTGATCAGGAATGATGTGGTGAATGTGATGATGTCACAGAGACACACTGTCGGCAATGTTCCCTCTAAGATGTGGAGTCTGGTGAGCAAGAATTCGACTCTGTGAGCTGCTGGCATTAAGGTTGTGAGTGAGGGATTTGGCTGCTGCATCAATTAGTTTGCTCTGGAGCCGTCCTTCCTGAGCGAAGACAAAAATGTGTGAGCCGGAGGCTAAAAAACTGTGAGCTAGCTCACACTAACTCAGCTTAGAGGGAACACTGACTGTCGGTCCAGTTGGGCTGGGAACAAGCAAAGCCAACCAATGGTCCCTCAAAGCTGTGGACTCTTGTGAGCAGAAATTCTACTTTTGTGAGCTTACTGGCATTAAAGTTGTGAGCAAGTGATTTGGCTACTGCATTAATTAGTTTGCTTCGGAGCCATCCTTCCTGAGCTAAGACAAAAAAAAGTGTGTGAGCCGGAGGCTAAAGAACTGTGAGCTAGCTCACACTAACTCATCTTAGAGGGGACACTGAAGCCAACTACTGACCTTGGTCAGAACATGCATCAGAAGGAAGGGAAGGGCCTCTTCATTGCCAAAGCTAATGATATCATTGCCACGGGGAAGCCAAAGCAGACATATTGATCTTGTTGCTTAAGGACATGTTCCCTCTCTCCTAACACTCATTATGAGCAAAGCGGGCTCTGGACAAGGCTTCGTTTCCCTTTTGCAGACCCTTCCGAATATCACCAAACCCTAATCTCGGTTTGGGAAGTGTTAAGTCGCTCTCTTAACAGAGTAGTCGGAGAGTGATTCAGCAAGAACACAACTTTATTCTTCAACTCCAACACAACTCCAACACGGATCAACATCAGATAGCCAGAACAGCCTTTACATTGCAGCTGTCCTGCTTTTAAACATTCCCGGCTAATATAGCCACACCCACTGTGCACATATCAACCTATGAGGTTGCCGAGATAAGGTCCAATCACATTCGTTCCCACTCAGGGAGCTTGCTTGAAGTGATTGGCTTGCTACTTCCTGGGCTAGCAATACCATTGGATGGATTTGGGACCTAGCCCAGGACGAAGCTCAACATTACATTTCAGTTAGATGTTTCACAACATTGCATTCAAGGCTGCTTTGAATACATTATAGGAAGGCTTCGCGAAAAGCACCTCACCTTTTCTGGCTCAGCTCCAGAACGCACATGTCTCTGTACACTGGGATGTACTGATATAGTGTTTCCTCCCCCCCCCCCGTTACAATTGCAGGCATTCTGCACACCATAGCAATGATTGGCCCGATGGCTGGATTCCTCTTGGGGTCTCTGGTTGCCAGACTGTATGTGGACATTGGCTTTGTGGATTTAGGTAAGGATGCCAGGTGAAATACACGGATGTGGGGTTCTTATTTACAAGCTCTTTTAGTATCGATGGATTAGGAGAGCAGGGGGGAAGACTCGCAAATAAATAAGTAAATAAATATGGCATGGCTTAGATCCCTGCTTTGAGTCATCTGATAGCTCTTCAGGCATCTTAGAAGAGAAGAAGAGGAGACTGGATTTATACCCTGCCCTTCACTACCCAAAGGAGTCTCTGAGCGGCTTACAATCTCCTTTTCCTTCCCCTCCCCACAGCAGACACCCTGTGAGGTAGGTGGGGCTGAGAGAGCTCTTTCCAGAACTGTCCTTGAGAGGACAGCTCTGACAGAACTATGGCTTGCCCAAGGTCATCCAGCAGGTGCGAGTGGAGGAGTGGGGAATCAAACCCGGTTCTCCCAGATTAGAGTCCACGCACTTAACCACTGCACCAAACTGTGAGAGTAAGTCATTCATTTTTGAAATAAACATTGGTAACCCGAGAAAGGGACTGACTGAACATGTGTGAATTTCTTGCATTTGGGCGTTTCTGCATTCTCATCTTCCTCTCGTGCAAATTCCCGTTTACTCAGGGAAGGGGGTGTCTGTTCCACAAACGTTGTATTCCCTCAAGTGGTTGATTTGACATCAGTTTATGTCTGGCATATCTCCCTGCAGATTTTAACTGCAGGTTTTTAAGCCAGACATATGCTGATGTAATATCGAAGTGAATACTCCAACCTGGGAGCCAACAGCAAAAGAGGGACATAACAGGAAGTATATAATAATGTAATATATGTAACTAAGTTTATACAATGAATATGCAGATCAATTGGACAATCCCCCTAAATTAGGGTTGCCCATCCCCTTGTTGCTCCGGCAGGGGGTGTTGAGGGGCATTCCAGGGTGGGCGGGGATGCCCCAAGCCCTGCCCTCAAGCCCCAACCCCACGAACAACCACCGACCCGGCCACCCCTCTCTCTCCCCTCCTGCCATATTTAAAGAGCTTCAGCTGATCGGCGGGGACCATGTGGCCCACTGGTCAGCTGGAGGGCCCTTTCAATCTAGCAGTAGGGAGGGAGAGGGGCAGTCATGGCCACTTGCCATGCATGCAAAAAGAGCCTTTAAAGGGGGTGGGGCTTGGGGGTGGGGCTTCCCTGCTGGCCAGCAGAGGATCGGAACCCCAAAAAGCAGGGAAACCCCTGCCCAGACCCTACCCTAAATACTAATATCTTGATTTTCAGTTCAGTCAGTCACAGCTGGGGAGAGTTCAGAGAGCTCCATCACATCTCCCTGGAAAGCATGATGCTCACATTCCTGTGACAGATGGAAAACAATTTGGCGGGCTGCACCACAATCGCATTCGGGTCCTGGCATTTTGCCCCATTGAAACGACAGGTCTGCGCATCTGCCAAAGCCTGTTCGTATTCTATTAGCCATCTTCCATACTTTACGTGGCAAGTCAAATCCTGTGGGCCTCTACTGTTGTCACACTGCAACCTTCCTGCCTGTATCCCATGGCTTTCCATTGTGTCAGCTATTTAGACTGTAAACTCCCTGGAGGTAAAAGTCTATTGTAAATTACAGCAGATGTAAAAAAACAAACAAACTGTCAATGACATTGGTTTGAACTTGTCCTTTAGGTACAGTTAATATAACCCCGACTGATTCCCGCTGGGTTGGTGCCTGGTGGCTCGGCTTTATAGTGTCCGGATTCATCCATCTGCTTTCCGGCATCCCCTTCTGCTTTTTGCCTAAAAGTCTGAATGTGGAAGAGGAGCCCAGGCTTATGCAAAAGCCCCCGGAGGCTGTGCAGCTGAATGGTGATGGGTGTCAGATACCCAAGTCTGAAACTCAGGAAGGTGCGAAATGGACATCCGGTTTGAAAGGTAAAGAAAAAGCACATAAGAACATGAGAGACGCCAATGTTGGATCAGGCCAATGGCCCATCCAGTCCAACACTCTGTCTCACAGTGGCCAAAAATACCAGGTGCCGTCAGGAGGTCCACCAGCAGAGCCCCCTCCCCAAGCATCACTTGCCCCAGACTGAGAGTTCCTATCTATACCTTGTGGCTAATAGCCACTGATGGACCTATGTTTATCCAATTCCCTCGTGAAGCCATCCATGCTTGTAGCTGCCACCACTTCCTGTGGCAGGGAATTCCATGTGTTAATCACTCTTTCGGTGAAGAAGTACCTCCTTTTATCTCTTCTAACCCGACTGCTCAGCAATTTCATGGAGTACCCACGAGTTCTTGTATTGTGAATAATACCAGGTACCATTCGGAGGTCCATCAGTGGGGCCAGGACACTAGAAGCCCTCCCACTGTTCCCCCCCTCCTCAAAGCACCAAACACAGTTTAGACCAGATCCAAGGGTCCATCTCAACCTGCGTTCAGCTTCCAGATCCCTCTGGGGAAGTTTTTGGTCAGGCAGCTAACCTTCTTTGATGTTTGCCCCCCAGAATTAAATATTCAGAAGTCTGTTGCCACTGAATAGAGAGGATCCATTTAGTTAACGGCTGGGATGTCCACACACAAAATGTTGTTTGAGTTTCTGCTCATTTTGTTCTTCGCCCTGACCTGGATGGCCCAGGCTGGCCTGATGATGTAAGATCTCAGAAGCTAAGCAGGGTTAGCCCTGGTTACTATTTGGATGGGGGACCACCAAGGAAGCCCAGAGATATGATGCAGAAGCAGGCGATGGCAAGCCACCTATGAATGTTCTCTAGCCTTGAACACCCTACGGGGTTGGCATAAGTCAGCTCTGACGTGACAACGCTTTCCACCACCATGTTGTTCTTTACATGTCTTGTTCACATTTGTAGGAAGTTTAGGGTCATTATTCTATTCAGTGGTTGTGATTCCAGGAGGTAGCTATACTCAGGGCTATTTTGGGGCAGGAACGCACAGGAACGGAGTTCTGGCTGGCTCCTGGGTTGGCCACGCCCAGCAGGAACTCATTAGCATAATAGGCCACACCCAACAGCAGAAACTCATTAGGGTTGGCTACATTAGGGGTGTGTGGCCTAACATGCAAAGGAGTTCCTGATACAAAAAAACCCTGGGTTTTGGCAACAAACAAGGTAAACAGAATAAGAAGCAAAAGGTGGGTGTGGCTGGATAACCACACTTCTGGTAACATGGGAGTGTAGCCTAATGTGCTAATGAGCTGTGGGGGGGATTTTTTATTATTTTTTATGACTACAAAATACTACAGAAAAGGGAAGGGAAACTACATATACATGGAGAAAGAAAAGAAAACCAACTACTACCTAAAAACCCAAGAGAGGAGATCCTCAAACAAGCTTCGTTACATTAATTCATAACTCATTTAAATCAATATGAATTGAGTCAAGTATTTCAAACATTTTCCCTTTTCTTTAAGTTTAAGTTTTAACTGTCTAAAGACAATGCCCCCCCATTCATCTCAGTTAAGTCAAGGCACAATTCAGAGTCTTTCAGCCTTTATTACTCTCTTCCTCAGTTTATAAGGACTTTTCGGAGCAGCAGCTCCTTGCTCAGTCAGCGAGTCCTCTCCAGAAGATCCCGACTCCAACTCTCCACTCTATTTTCTGTCATCTTCCTTTCCTTCTTCCTCTGATTTTCCCAGCTGAACTCTTAGAAACTCTTTGGCTTTAAAAACAGAGTCAATTCTTTCTTTTTTATCCTTCCTCTTGAAAGTTACGCCTTCCGGAAATAGCCATTTGTATCCAATTGCGTTTGTCTGAAGATAAGCTACCCATTGCGCTTGTCTGAAGATAAGTTCTTTGTACTTCTTTCTCCTTTGTCTTACATCAAATGGAATGTCCTTCAGCGTTCTGATCTTATTTCCCCCCACTTTCAGGGGTTCTCCAGAAACTGCTTTCAGGACTACATCCTTTATGTGCCTCTTCGAGAATCTCACCTAGATCAGCTTTATTGATTAGAGAAAAGTGAAGTCGTCTTAGACTCTTTAAGTCAGGAATGGGGCATACAAAATGGCAATCCCAGTTATAGTGGGTCCATACAACACCCCCTGACACCTAGGGGCCAATAAGCAATTAATGCAAAGCGCAGGGAGCTGATTAACGGTTCAGAGTTAGGTGGGGGACACTAGACACTTCGCGCAAAGCTGGGAGCTCAAGGCCAACGGCAAAGATAAGGGCAAAGTGAAACACAGCTGCAGTGTACATTCCAGAGTCAGGTAAAAAGACCTCATGGCGGGACTACCCGACACCTAGTTATTGTACTCAGGTGACAGCTGGGAATCACATGGCCACATTTGGGGGGAGTGTCCCTCAACCAATAGTGATTAAATTCTCCAGGATGGGCCTCTTCAGGCAGAAAGGGAAAAGGCTGCTAATTGAGAGAGCAGGATAATGGAAGGTACCTGAAGGAGTCTCAGAGCAGTTTACAAACTCCTTTCCCTTCCCCTCCCCACAACAGACACCCTGTGAGGTAGGTGGGGCTGAGAGAGCTCTCTCGAGAACTGCTCTTGAGAGAACAGCTCTGAAATAACTTGTGACTGACCCAAGGTCACACCAGGACTTGCATATGGAGGAGTGGGGAATCCAACCCAATTCTCCCAGATTAGAGTCTGCGCTCTTAACCAACTACACCAAACTGGCTCTCAGAAGAGCTACACCACCACCTTCATAAGAATGTGGGTCCGTCAGTGCTGCATACCAGGAGTGCCCTAACCAGCATTGGTCTCTTTCTTTCAGATTTCTTCAAGTCCCTGAAAAGAGTGCTGTCCAACCGAATGTACACCCTACTGCTGTTTATTTCACTGCTGCAGTTCAGTAGTTTCATTGGTTACCTGACATATAATCCAAAATACATGGAGCAGCAGTACGGTCAGTCGGCCTCCAGGTCTAACTTTATCACAGGTGAGTCACATCTCTTGATAATGGAATGGATGATGGAAAAGTACATTAAAAGCATTGTTATTCGGCACTCATTGGAAATAGGATCGTTGGTTAATCATATGTGCCCGGTTTCCAAACTTTTTTCCACTGTCCTGCCCTCTACTCAAAGAAATTCACAGTGACCAAACCGCACATGGTGACAGCTCTTGTGCTACCTCCAGTAGAACTTTCTCTCGACACCTTAAGGCACTCTGAGAACCTGCTGGATCAGACCAATAGTTCATCAAGTCCAGTGTCCTGTCTCACACAATAGCCCACCAGTTCCTCTGGATGACCAACAACAGAGCGTAGAGGGCGAGGCCTTCCCCGATGTTTCCTCCTGGCTCTGGGATTCAGGCTCCAAGCCATTTAAACCTCTGCTTTCTACTCTTCACAAAAAAACAACTGAGTGGTGGAGAGCTTTCTGCTTCCTGCTGCTCAGTTGTTTTTTGTGAAGAGCAGGAAGCAGAGGTTTAAATTGAGCCATTTAAACCTCTGCTTTGTGCTCTTCATGAACCGCCACAAACTCCCTTGAAATCCATGGATGTTTGTGGAGGCTCTTCAGTTCGCAAACTATGAATCAGCGAAAATTCATACTGAACTTATGTTTGTGAACTGGTTCATGCCTATCCCTAATTCCTTAACTGTCGAACATAAATACATTCCTTTCTCTCTCTTATTTCAGGTGTGATCATCTTACCAGCGGTGTGCCTCGGTTTGCTCCTAGGAGGGTTCATCATGAAAAAATACAAATTAGGCATACTTGGTGCTACAAAAATGGCATTTTTAACATCCGGCATTGCCTTCCTCATCTCAGTTCTGTACATAGTAATGGACTGTGAGAATCGCAAGGTGGCTGGATTAACAGTGCCCTATGAAGGGTATGTATGCGTGTGCGTGCCTAGGACAGAGGGGGAGATGGATGTGAGCTTCTTTTGGAGATGGTTCTGTATTGGGGAAGCAAGTGACATTCAAAAGCTGGGAGATTTAAGGTAGGAGTAGGATTGTCAGTTCTCCGATCAGAGTGGGAGATCCCCTGCCCCCCACTCCTGTTACTGGCTGCTGCTCCACGCAGTGGCAGGATAATTTTAAGGGGGGGGGGACACATGTACTGTTTTTTTCACTTTTTGGGGAAACTCGGATATGTCAGAAGGTATCTCTAGGAATTCCCAGAGATTGCTTGCCTCTGAGAATCTGTAGAGTGAAATTTCTAAAAAGGGAAAAGAAATGGTTTCAGGAGAAACTGGGTAAAAAAGAACTAAGAGAATTCCTCCTAAACAACATGAATTGTGAATTCTAGGGCATGGACATCCAAATTATCTATTCCCCCTGGACGCATTATACTCAGACTCTGGGCTTTTCTACATTTTCATTTTAGTCGCTGCTAAATTCCTGTTTCTTTGTCCTTTTTTCCTTTTCCGCATGTGTTTTGCTCCCTCTAGTGGTTGATTCGATATCACACAGCTTTTTTTTCTGGCATATCTGCCTGCAGATTTAGGCCCTTTCTGCACTCCCCTTTTAATC